ATAATTAAAGGAATAGATAATGTCGAGTGTGGTAGGTTTTTCCAGTTTGATGGCAGCAAGAGAACGAGAGGTAACCAACTTAAATTGCGCAAACCTCAGGTGCGGCTCAGGTCGAGACAGGAATTCATTACTTGCAGGGTGGTGAACGTGTGGAATGCATTAGATGACGAAGCAGTGGCTGCCTCTTCTGTGACTACCTTTAAGAAGAAACTGGATGCTTTCATGGGCAGGCAAAAAGTTGGGGGCCATGTTGACGTTAGGTACTAGACAGTAAGCAACTAGGATAGGCAAAAAAAAAAAAAAATATATATATATATATATCTGGCTTTAAGAGGAGTAGGCCTACCCTAAAATTAAGGAACGCTCGAACCTCGACACGTGATATCAAAATGGGTGAAATCGCCTCTTGATATCACTATCTTGAATCTTGAAAAAAAAAAGTTACACGTTCTCTGTTAAATGTGCCTTGAGAGACTGAATAGTTGGATCGAGGATCCCACCCAGCTCCACAATAGTGGAGCTGGGTGGGATCCTCGACCGATCACTCTCCGCTTTCCGAGCCCAGCCCGTTGAAAGGGGACGCAACGAGAAGCAGTTCGTCACAAAGCCCGAGTGCTCGACGACTCGTTCTGGGTGTCCGCGAAGGTAGATCGTCAGCTCCAGTCGCTCGACATCTCACCTTGGACGAAGCACTGTGGAGTAGTTCGTCAGCTCCAAAGCTCGACAACTCACTCTAATCCACCCTTACGGTAACTCTTCGAAAGCCCGAGTGCTTAACAGTTCACCCGCAGATAGGAGCAGTTCGTCATCAGACAACTCGCTCATACGTTTCTGCTGACATTTTCGCTAGCCCCAGTCGCTCGGCAACTCGTCAGTAGTCCGGTTTCTCGGTAGTTTTTTTTTTCCCACAGCCTTTTAGCCTCGCCGCTCCGTGCCCCCATTTCCACGAGAACTAAGAAACCGACGCCTTTGGAAAGTTCAAAAGCGACACCATTTTGACACTCTTCACCCAGATTTGGCCCCCTCGGACGACTCCCCCATAGTTCATCCATAACATTCAGAAATAAACTTATTTGCTCCCAGAATTCAAATCCTTATATTCGTCTCTCCCCAAATTGATCTCGAGAACCCCCATTCTGTCGGATTGCGCGGAAAATTCCCAAATCCGTAACAGTATCGAGTGCTCAGGCCCACAGAGCAGAGGGCACAGTTAAGGTGCAAGTGTACCCACAAATGATGGCTCTTGGTCCTCCAGTCCAGATATGATACACTCCGATGACTTCCAGGAAGGCCTCGTTTTTCCCCGGGCGATGGGCGTCACCGTGAAGATTGGAAGCATAGTTGGCTAGGAATTTTATTATTAGATATGGTTCTTGGAATGGCGGCAGTACGATTAGAAGCGGTATCCTACAGTTTACATACCGTGGTGACGGTCTAAACACGGGCGGTATTTCCACAGTTTTCATACCGAGGCGATAATACCGAAAAAAAAGTCGGTATGGTTATCCCGAGAACCGAATACCGCAGTATGACGAAAATACCGGTAAACCACAACGCCCTACTCTGTCATGTGGGTCACAAAGAAATTTCCTAATGAAGAAGTGACGTCCGATGATGAAGTGAAAGGATATTCGACAATTGATACGAACCGGTCCAAGTCGGTTCCGATCGGTTCGGTACATGCTACCACATGCTAAAGGTCACACTCAGATTCCTACAGTTGAGATCACACCATTCCGAACTCGGACCGTTGAACGAGGCCAAGCCCGTGTTCCAGCGTTCTTAGATGTGCAGTGGAACGAAGAATTCGCGTGAAAATGTTCTCAAATCCTTTATTGACACCGAATCATAATGATAAATATGCATTCACGCTGCCACGTTTTCTCCGATGTTCAGTTCTAGGTATAAAAACACAAAGTTTCGTCGTAAGAGCTTCTTAAAACCGAGGAAGCAAGAGAGAGTCCACGACGAAATGACTCACCTGATCGCTCGACAAACTGTGCGCCACAAACGAAATGCGAGTCCCCCTTCTGGAATCGTCCAGCATGCTTCCGAAATGCGATGTTCTGGGGGACCTTCTAATCCGGCCTTCTCTCCTCTGACAAAAAAAAAACTGGATCGAGTTTCTGACTTAAAGCAGTGCAAACTGCAACGAAACATCTCCAAACCTTTTCCCCGGGAATTCGCAAGTTCCAGCCTTTTTCTGCGAGCGTGAGTCGAACGACTTTCATCAGCCGTCGATTGAGAAGGCAATGAAACACGAAGATTAGCATGCCCTATAACGAAAAGGGAAATGCGGAAAGTTTCCAAATTAGGATTTTTTACATTTTTAATTACTTATTTAAATTTCTCGTCCGAATTAGGCCCCAAAAGAAGAATTAGGCCCATCTGAGATTAAAAGTTCTCGGTTCACGAAGCAGACGTTCGAAATAAAATTAAAAACCTCAAAACAATGCTAAAGATTTCTGAATGAGCCAAAAAAGGGTATCAATGCGTACCGCATTGGAAGACGCAAAACTAAAAATCGTTATCCAAGTTTCAACACCAGTCCATGAAGCTGTACATTTCAAAGTAACATATAGTATTAAATTAAACGCTCAGTTTATGGACGAGCGAAAAATATGAACGGTATTTTCGATGGCTTTGACGTCCAACATAGCAAGAACGAGCGACTCGGCCTTTTTCACCGTTCCATGCAGCTAAACGCACGACATAGAAGGATTTGGTGGGAGAAAGCCGTCCGGCGTCGTGCTCCACGGACCTCCTCGCCGAGGCTCTCCTCGTGCAAGTTACCTGCGAGGCATTCACGATGGTGAAGGCGTAGACGAAGATGGGCGTGACCTGCATGTAGAGGAACCCGAAGACCCAGCCGGTGCCGAGCAGGCACGAGAGGGACACCGTCGTCCGAACCACGCGTCTGCCAACCGTTTTTTTTTTCCATTAACGATACGAAATCGAGCGAAACGTCGGTAGCGGAAGGGTTCTTACAGGTTGTATTTCCGGCTGCGGTGTCCGACGTTCCCGCACTGACAATAGGTTCGAATCGCCAAATACATGAAAACGGCACCGAGTAGAATGGTGACCATGACCGGGCCGGCGAAGGTCCAGATGTAGTAAGGCGACGACAGCCAGCAGCTGCAAATATTAAATTCATAACATGCACGAATGAATACGTCGTGTTACGATGCGACAGAGGCTCTTGGGATTTTCAGAACGATCCGCTAAAAATACTCTATATATCTGATTGGAAAGAAAGTTCTCGGAATTTCATGAACAATTATTACAACCCAGTTTATTTAAAAGCAAAATCATCTCAATCATGAATGTAATCACCATTGGCCTCTATCACTTCACGCCAACGTTCATGCAAACTATGGATGCCATTCCAATAGAACTCTGGCGGCTGCGCTACGAAAAAGTTGGCCAAATCGGTTTTCAGGTCGTCTCGGTTGGCGTACTGCTTTCCACCCGTGTGACGGTCCAGGGCAACGAAAAGGTGATAATCGGACGGGGCAAGGTCGGGGCTGTAGGGCGGATGCGGCAGCACCTCCCAGCACAGGTCCAGTAACTTTAGATGAGTCTGTCTAGCGGTGTGCGGCCGGGCATCGTCGTGGAGGAGGATGGTTCTCTGTCTTTCTGGGCGTGTTTCAGCCAGTTTCTGCTGCAGCCGATCGAGTTGCTGGCAGTAGTAGGCAGCAGTGATGGTGGTGTTTTGCGGCAACAGCTCAAACATGATGATGCCTTTCGAATCCCAGAAGACCGAGAGCATAATCTTTTTGGGGTGCAACTCCTGACGGGGTTCTCTTTCGGCCGATGCTCCGGCGTCCACCCACTGACGTTTTCGTCGAATGTTGGCATAGAAGGTCCACTTTTCGTCGCCTGTCACCACTGAGTCTAGCCAATCCGTTCGGCGCGAACGTGACAGAAGGGAGATGGCCATGTCTACTCGTCGCTGGCGGTCCCGATCGTCCAGCTTGTGGGGTACCCAGCACCCCAACTTTGCCTTCTTGCCAAGCTCAGCCAGATGATGAAGGATAGTTGTATGGGAGACACCCAGCAAGTCCGCAAGCTCTCGCGATGTTTGCCGGTTGTTGGCCTCCAGTGCCTCCTGCAAGGCAGAGTTATCAAACTCCGAAGGACGACCGGTGCGTGGCTGGTCTTCCAGGCTTTCATTTCCTTTCTGGAAGCGACTGTACCAATCATAGGCAGTGCTCTTGGACACAGTGTCCGGGCCAAACGCGGTATTGATGTCAGCGATGGAATTGGCTGCCGTCTTCTCGATTCGGAAGTCATAAAGAAGCAGGCGAACTTGCTCCTTAGTAAGAGGGTAGGGCTGGTTCATGGCTGGAGAGCACCAGGGCTGTAATAATATACGGTTGTATGCCGAAGGACCGACCTACTTATAAACACACGCAGAACATTCTAGCATGCTATGGAAAAAAATTGTACTGGATATTCAAGAAATTCCGAGAACTTTCTTCCCAATCAGATACTTTTTACTCTTTTTGCTCTCTTTGTAGAGACGCTCTGCTAGGATATCGGCTTGCGCAGTGTCATATGGCTTCGCCGGGTTCATCCACGTAATGAAACACATGACTTCTTGAAAAAGTTAAAAATTCTTTTTAAACGTACAGAATTACCCCAAGTTCTCAGTCGTATTGAGCAATTTGAGTTTCATTCAAGAACAGAATCGTTTCGTAGCGCGAAAAGTGATGCACACGATAGCGCCTATCGCTAACGTCCGCATCGCCATCGAGAGTCGAGCAACGTGATCGCGACTCACAATTCGCCGTCTCCGTACCCGTGCGTCCCGGTGCCAAAGGACACGGCCGCCGTGACGCCCACGACCCCAAACGGCACGCCGTACCCGACGACGTAGTACGCCTTCGTCTCGATGTCGTACCCAGCCGGGAAGGCCCGGACCAACTGACGATGCACGAACAGGCCCTCCAAGGCCATCCACATGAAGGCGCACAGGTACACGAAGTGGAGGACGATCCCCGCGACCCCGCATCCCATCTGCATCATACGCACGGCACGAAAAACGAGTACCGCTTATTGGATCCAGTCAAATTAAGGAATGCGCTGTCGCTTCATACTGGAGTATTGTCCGTTTCGGTTAATCGAAGAAACTGAAAACTAAAAAAAAATGGATTTTTTGCCCCGTTCCTTTCTTCCCCCATAAATACCTATATCCCATCAGTTTTGCTAGCGTTTTCAGATTCAAAACTCGTTAATGCATTACGGAGAACGAGTAGAAAGAATGAAAGTTTACGCCTTTTTTTGGTCGTTCATTTCTAAGATTGCTCGAGACGGACAATAGCCAAATTGCAAATATATCGATAACGTATAATGATTCGTGGCTACCATACTCGCGTCGAAAACAATAAGTCGATGAACGCTCAAGGGACAGAAACGGGAGATTGCTAGACGGTAGGCATTCCCGATCCGCTGGGAGCCGGTCGCATCAAAACTTCGATTCGCGAGGAAAGAGTCGAGAGAAACCTTTTATCGGGAACAATGCCGTGAGTGTGGAGCGAAACGTCATTCTCGAAATCCAGAGGCTCACCTCAGAGAGATTGAAGACTTCCCGGTCGATGAGCAAGAGGAGGAGAACTTGGCCGAACAAAAGGCATAGGCAAAGCTGCTTGTTCAATTCCGATGATTTCGGATTTCCACTTCTGGGAAATATATTACTTTTCGGAGAAAAACCACAAAGGAACGCGGCAATAGCCAGATAATAAAAAAAAACTTACTTATCCAAGTGGAAAACGCCGAGGGCAAGTACGAGTCCGACGATGGAGAGGGAAGAGAAAGCGATTGTGAGCACTTCCAGCGCCAAACTACGCCCCTGAAACAGGTGCTCCAGTGATTCCATCGGATACGAGTGAGTTTCGAGTCGAATTTCGCAGGAAACTCGAAGCGGGAAATCGTGACTCACGACGTAGCCGTGCAGATCCATGAGAACCCCGAAGTTGGTCAGGTGATTGCATTCGCACACGGTTTCGTCCCGGTCAGAGGACACCTCCCGGCATCCCATCGTATCCCATCTCCTAATATATGTAGACTAAGAAATCACTGCATCCCCCCCCCCCCCCCCCCCCCCCCAAAAAAAAAAAAATTGGAGGCGCACCCTACGTCAAGGTTCCAAAAGGTGCAGCGGTGGCTCTCTGGCACGAACGTCGCTTCCTCACCCGCGTGAAGTTCTCTCCAGACGTCGTGGTAGGGGGGGTCTCGGGGACGACGGAGGCTCCCCATCACGAGCGTCACCGGTTCCCTCAATTCCGTCGTCCGCTCCGCTTTCAACGCGAAGCTCAACAGCTTGGAATTGACCGTCTTCCGCTCGCCCAACCTGCGAAGATCGACGCGGGTGATTCGGAAGGCGGACGGCGATCGATCCACGGCCCCCCCGTGACGTCGTACGCGTTTCGATGCCCGGGCAGCAGTCGATCCAAATCCCGCACGGCGTACAGCACCCCGACGTATGAGTAATCCTCGCCGTCCAGGTCGACCTCGAACGATCTCGGCAACGTGAGGTACGTGTCGCTCTCGGAGCCGGGGAACACGAGCGGGTCGGACCGAACTCCCTTCTTCCTTCCGGAGACTTCCATCACCAACGTCGGTTTGGTCGACACGAATTCCACGTACTCTTGGGCGTTTGCGATGAGCGTCTCCGACAGACGCAGACAGGAGTGACTGACGATCGTGAGAAGAGACGAGAACGTCGCGGTTCTGTTGGCCTGCAACCGTAAAAAAATCGTATTCCTAATAATCCTTCTTACGTTACTAAATATCCAGAAGCTGACTGCAGGAACATCATCAGATCCTACCGATGCTGCCAAGGTTGCCAACAGGTTCGAACGGTTCACTTTCTCGAACCATGGGCCTGCCCTGAAAAAATACTCCTGCTACTCGAGGACTTCACAGCGTACGTCGACTCTGAATTGTGTTTTGTGAATGCATTTCCATGTCACATTACGTAAGTGATCCACACGTTATCTATACTCCCGTTTTAAAAGCATGGCCGTTGATGCACGGATAAACGAGGGTAGTAAAAATTCCTATAGGATTTTCCCTATTCGCGTTCCACGGAGTCGATCGATAAAGCACCTCAAGTAGTGCACGAGTGTCGATCGTCACACCGCGATTCGAGGTGACCCCGATCCACTAGAGGGCGAAAAAATCGGGCAAAAAGTTACCAGGGTTTCAACTGGTCTTCAGGCTACGACAGGCGCTAGGCCATGTCATTTGCCGAGCGGATCTCGACCATTGGCAAGTGTCGATTTGGTATTTTCACCGTTTGCTCACCTGCTGGATCTGGATCCATCCGTCAAACGCCCGTAGGATCCCGTCGAGAACCGACGTGAAATTCCCGAGGAACTTGCGAGCGCTTTCCGCGTCCGTCGTCTCTTCGTCCAGGCCGTCGAGGAAGGCCTCGAAGAGCAACGAGAGGAAATGCACAATTTTTTCGATCTCTTCCCCCGACAGCTCCTTTTGGCTTTCGACCGCCGAAGCCAACTCGTACAAGACATCCAGAGGATTCGAATCGTTCAGCTGAAACGGTCGAAACGAACGGTCGGATGATGGGATGAACAAAATATATATACCGTATGGAAACGAAAACGACAATAAAAACGTACGGATCCCCAAAGGTGGTCGATCCACCCGCTCGAGCAGTCCTCGTCGATCAAAAGGAATCCGTCTTCGGTGCAGTTCCATCGCTGCTTCCCGTTGTAGTCGACGGGACAGGGAGTCTCGACGACCTGGCCCTCCAGGGCTTCGAAGAGGGCGTCACCAAAGAGATACTCCGAGCATTTCCACACTGAAAATTCCCCGCTTTTCACGGTCGCCGTCAGCGAAAACGGATGGACAGAATTTGGACTCACGGCATCTCCCGTCGTCCGCCTCGTATCCCTCCTCGCACTCGCAGACGCCGTCGACGCAGATCGAGTGCGCCGGAACGCATCGCGCGGGGCCGGGGACGCACTCGTCCCCGAGGCCAGGCCTCTCCGAGACTGAAAAAGTCGACCAAAAACTGACGGCGAAATCGGTCCGAGTTTGGATCGTTCCTCGGCTGCTACAAGCAGGCAGTCTAAACACGTCCTATGAACGAAACGATTAAGTTTAAATTCATATAAAAACCTACTGCTTAAAAAGGCAGGCCGGGAATACGAGTAGCACGAAGGCCTCAAACCCTCAAAAGATTTTAGCCAAAGTATTCGCATTCGTGAGGTTCCAGTATGCGAAGAAGAACGGCATACCGATAGCCAAACGAATCGTTCGGTGGAATTTCCTAACAGCTCCCTAAGAAATACCTAGTCCGTTAGGAAAATCATGGACGGTATCGAGAGGTTCGCATCGCCGAACGAAGGAAAGAAGAGAAGTCGTTTAACGGCAAGGGAATCCTTCGTCTTCCGTGTCGCTCGGGACACGACACTCCCATCGAATCCAATTGCCAAGCCAAAAGAATCGGTAACGATTGCCATGGCTCGAAGGACGAGTTGCCGACACCATCGTCACCGCGATTTCCGTCGACGAGACGGGAACGATTCGTGAGCGGAGAAATGACTCACTGCAAGATCCTTCGTGTTGCAGGAATCCCTCCTCGCACTCGCAACGGTCCCCTTGGGGCCCTTGGACGCACTCGGCATGGTCCGTGACGCACTCGACCGAGTCCCCGACGCATTCCTCTCCCAGTCCCGGCGAGGACTTCACTGTCGAGTTCCGACAACGAGGCCGCCAGAATATAATAATAAAAATAAAATGCATATGGGGAGGGATGGAGAACTCACTGCAGATTTCATAAATTTCCACGAATCCAATCGAACAATTGCATCTTTCTTCCATACAGGTTACGTTTTCCGTGTCACATCCGACGACCGGATCGCATTCCTCTCCGAGGTGAGGCAGTCCTGTTGGCAGATTCAGCAAATTATTAAATATCACACAGAAATGTATTACTAACCCGTACTCGTATTTCGTTCCAATTGCGTAGAACATCATCACTTTTACGAAACACCTCGAAGAACGTGGAAGTGTCTCCTCACTGCTTCGATCGAGACAAATCCAAAACAGACTCGAGGCCACTCGTTCTCATGATATCTTCGACCGTAATAATCGGTACGGTCGAATGGGACACGGTGATCGCTGCTCCAAACAGTCGGTGTGTCGAGTTAAACAAAACTAAAGGTAAAGCAGAAAGACGAAAAATTGCAGGAAGAGACCGAGCGGTAGAGAGGCTGACGATCCCTTCCATCTCTCCTCGATCGAAACTCATACACGATCGGTCATGTGCTATACCCTAAATGAAGAGGAACTAAGACTTTCAGTTCATGAGGAAATCGTCGTGATCGGTGCTAGGAATTTGGAGCAACGAACGAGGAACGAGAGGACTGTGTCCACTCGAGCGAGAGGAGAGTGCCAGGTTTTTCAGCAGTGGCATGTGCTGAGTTTCTTCGAAGTGCGTCTTTTGCCCATGGAACTGCTAGAAGCAGCACGATGGTCTACCATCGTCGACTTCACCAACGATTGACAATGTTAAGGTCAAGAGAAAGGTTATGCAAAGAGAGCACCAACAATGGTCTACAGCAGCGTAGCTATGTAGGCCGAACGCGTTCAGCCTACAATGTTTTGTCATTCTAGGCCATAGGCTGTGCCACAAGAACTTGAATATGTTTTAATAGAAACGTAATGGTCAACATGAGGATCCTTCTGATTTGAATTATGTCCCAGTGAAAATACATGAATCCGAGTCGTTTCTGAGACATGGAAGAGAACGGACGTGTTGTGCTGGTGCTTAGAGTGGTCTCCCTTGCCCCAGGTGGCCGTTGGGGTACAGCGATTCATTGTGGGTACCTGTGAGAAGGGAAGTGTTCTACCCTCTGGACAACCTACTTCATAACCCTTGAAAGGCAAGCGCAAAAGTTGGAACGAAGTTGCAACAGATGCCTAATACGAGAGACGAGTTTGAAGTCATGGTTATCTTTAGTTTCTAATGAGCTGGAGGCTTCAATATATGAAGCGCTCTAAAATCGAGACAAAATTAAGAGAGGGAGGTCAACGCGACCTAAAAAGTTACTTCTTCAAGACTCGATACGACGCAGGTGCCCTAGATAGTGCATTATGTGATGCTTTGAATTCTTGTGATAGTCTCCCTTTAAATCCTGGTGACCTTGAGACAGAAAGTGCCCGGAGCATAGTGAAAGAAAACCTAGGGACCGTGCACGCAACTATGATGCGAAATAAGAAAAAAAGGAATCCGTCCCAGGATAAGACAGTTGCAGACCACAGCCAGAGTAGCTCCAATGCAGGATCATGTGAATCATCCTCCTCCACCATGGGGAAACTTGTGTCTCTAGTGAGCAGCATTGCTTCCTCACAGACTGAGATAAAAAATTCTATTCAAGAAATCCGAAAGGATCTCGCTACGTTGACACCTCGTATCATTGAGATAGAAAAAAAGTGCAATGACATGGAAATATCAGTTGCAAGTTGCGTTGAGGACTGCATAGAAATAAAGGAGACGACAATTCCATCAATCNTGTGTCTTAGCAAATATATACGGGCCAAATGAGGATAATCCAAGCTTCTATGAAGGTCTCATGAAAATTGTAAAGGAATACCAAGTTGAAAACAAAATCTTCTGCGGAGATTGGAATTTAGCTCCAAATCCAAATGAAGATGCGGAAAACTATCGAGCCGTAAATAACCCAAAAGCAAGAAAAAAAAAATCTGGAATATATGCAGTGTCTCGAACTTGACGATATATGGAGAACGTATCATCCAGGCCAAAGAAGTTTTACATGGAGACAAAGGAACCCTTTGAAGCAAGCAAGATTAGATTATTTCTTGATAATTCAAGTTTGAGAGCATATGTCAACAATGTGAGTATCGAGGCGGGTTACAGATCTGATCATACAGCGATTAAAATGAAATTCAATATCGGAACATTAGCAAAAAGAGAAAATTTTTGGAAATTTAATAACGCTTTATTGGGAGATGAAGAATATAAAGAGACAATACACAGTGCCATCCGTACAGTCGCTAGAATATATGCAGCCACCCCTTATTCCCCAATTTTCTGGGGAAATCAGAAAATGGGTGAAAATTTTGTATTCCAACTCGGTAGCTTCTGTCTGCCAAAATGGAAAAATATCAAACTTTTTTCCAGTACAAAAAGGATGCAGACAAGGTGATCCCCTCTCCCCTTACCTATTTTTGCTATGTGCAGAAATATTTGCATGTATGATCCGACAAAATCATAGGATTTCCGCCTTGAAATTAGGTGAATTGATCTGTCCTAAACAACAACAATTCGCAGATGACACAACTCTTATTCTGGATGAAAAAAAGATAGTATTATGGAAATATCGTCTGCTATTGATGCTTTTTACGAAATGTCGGGATTAAAAATAAATCTTTAAAAAAATAAGGCGATATGGATAGGAAATAAGACTGACTTACAACAAACCCCCCTGAGTTGAAATCATTAGACTGGACAGATCATTTCACCTTACTTAGTATAAAATTTCATAGGGATTTGTCGCAAATGCCTGAATTAAATTTCAGCGAAAAGCTTGATGAAATAAGGGTACTTTTGAAGAATTGGTCGAATGTATCGATAACCCCTATAGGAAAAACAACTATTTTGAAAACACTGGCATGATCCAAACTGATGCATGTCCTTTACTGTTTGCCTAATCCTAAGGAGACATGGATTGCCGAGCTGGAACAACTATTTTCAGAATTTCTGTGGAAAGGGAAGAGAACAAAAATAGCTTCGAGCAGGATTAATTTACCATATAAATTAGGAGGTATGGAAATCATGAATGTGAGAGACCTAATATATAGCATTAGAGTGACATGGTGGAGGAAATTCCTACTGAAAACTGAGGTTTGGGTGAAATTAATAGAGCAGCAAATACCTCTGGGGCCAGATGTCGACTTGATGCAACTAGGGGGTGCATGGGATGTCTGTTTCAATCTCTCAATGAATAATTTTTGGTCTGATAACAAGAAGGCTTGGGCTAGATTTTCTAGTTCTGTCATGGAACAAGTGGAAGTATTAGCAGACTGCCCGATTTGGTGCAACACCCTCTTCCGCGTGGAGGGACAGCCAGTATTCTGGAAAAAATGGTATCAAGCTGGAGTTAAAACAGTGAGAGATCTCTTCGAAGAAGAAAGCTCCCGATTCTATACTTTTCAAGAATTCACATATCGATACCCTCACATTCACAGTAATTTTCTCTAATTTAATAGCTTAATAGTAGCTATTAAAAAAGGTTCAAGACGGAGGAATATGAATGAAAATGGAAATCAAACCTTCCCTAGGAGACCTACGCTCATTAAGGAAATTTTGGAATTCTCGAAAGGGGTGAAGTCCATTGAAAAACATTTTAGAAATATCAAGAAAACACCTACAAATATTCAAAAAAACTTGGAACAAGGAATTAAGAACAAGCATAACAGAAGAGGAATGGAGCTTCATTTGGACCATGCCAGTGAAAATTAAGGAGAAGAGAATCAGGTGGTTCCAAATGAAACTGATCAATAGAATTTTGCCAACAAAAAGTGTCCTAATGAAAATGAAGATTTCCAACGATTCCTTGTGCTCCTTATGCAAAGAAGAAACTGAGTCCATGATGCATCTGTTTATTAAATGTAAGTTAAACTGATCAATAGAATTTTGCCAACAAAAAGTGTCCTAATGAAAATGAAGATTTCCAACGATTCCTTGTGCCCCTTATGCAAAGAAGAAACTGAGTCCATGATGTATCTGTTTATTAAATGTAAGTTAGTACAGACATTTTGGAATGACATGATTAATTATACTAGAGATATAATTCCTTCAAGAGATACAAAAACATTAAGCTGCAAGACAATTCTGTTTGGATGCCCCTCTGAAGATAGAATTTGGAATACGATACTATGTTACGCCAAATACTATATATACTGCTGCTCCCTAAATAAAACTAAGCCAATGATTAAGGTGTTTCTAGGGAAAATCAAGTTGTTATTTCAAGCAGAAAAGTATGCAACGTTTACGCTTCTAACTGTGCCTTTAAATCATTTTCAACTGCGGGAAAAATGGATGCCGATGATTATGTAATGTTATCCATGATATGTTCTTATTATTACATAATTCAATTATTTGTTTATTTAAACCTTTGAGATGTCAAATTCTTGAATTGTCAAATTTTGAAATGTTAAACTCCAAAAGGTTGTCCTTTGTACCATTTGTCTTTGTTTCTGTGTTCTAC